GGACATTTTCAGGTGGGTAGCTACCGCTATAGGAGCCTTATAGAAGGTCTATATATCTCATGGAAGCCTTATAGAAGCCCTACATACTCCCCACCTGTTGTTTCCTAAACCCCAAAACCCCAAGACCTTGGGACACCACCGAAACCCCTGAAACCCCTGAAACCCTAAACCCTAAACCCTAAACCCTAAACCCTAAACCCTAAACCCCTAAACCTAAACTCCTAAACTCCTAAACTCCTAAACCCGTAAACCCGTAAACCCCTAAACCCCTAAACCCCTAAACCCTAAACCCCTAAAGCCCGAACCATCCTGAAGCCCAGCAATCTTTCCCGTCCTCCCTGCCAGGAGGGAAAGTCTCCGGAAGAGCAAGCTCTCGTACAGGCGGGTGCAATACAGGGACCTTAATAATTAGAATAGGGTTTTGTGGTTCCTTTTAAGGGTTCTTTTAAGGGGTACCATAAGGGCCTACTATAAGGGTTTAGGATATAGGGACTTTGATAATTAGAATAGGGTTTTGGGGTTCCTTTAAAGGGTTCCTTGAAGGGTTCCATAAAGGCTACTATAAGAGTTTAGGGTTCATGGGCCTTGATACTTAGAATAGGGTTTTGGGGCCCATGATACTATAACTATGATAAGGAACCTAAGGAATAGTATAGGTAATTATTTTGGGGCTCGCGACCGGTTCTCATCCCCAAACCCTCAAACCCCAAGCCTTAAACCCTAAAGCTCCTAAACCCCAAGCCCCAACCGAAGCCCATGACGCCCTGAGCTGCCACAAACCCCAGCCCTGCGCCCTGAAACCGTTAAGACCTAAACTCGAACCTCAAACTCCAAGTGAGTAGTTCTCTAAGTAAGTTAGGGCCGCAGTTTTGGCGACCCCACAAGCGACCGTAATTAGAGATCTACCCAAATTTTGAAACCCTAAAGCCATGTAGACCCTGAGCCCTAAACACCCCTAAACCCTAAACCGTAAACTTCCTACCCTAAACCCCAACGGCGACAGACATCTTAAACCTTAAGACTCCCTAAACCATAACACTTTATGTACGGTGTCGGGTTCACGTCTTTAGGACCCTCAAGCCCCTTCACCCTGCTATCCTAAACCCTAAACTCTAAATCCTCCATCCTACGGTTGATGATATAAATCCTGCATCACCCATAGTGAGGACCATACCATAATTCCCATAGTATGGGGTCCTTATGGTACTGCAGGATTTATATCATCAACAGTAAGGCTTCGGACCCCTAACCGGTCAACCGATCGATGTCCTAGGTGGATGTAGGCCGAAGTGATTCGTGACACGACTCCACAGTGTTCGCTGTAAGGGTTCCTTTAGGGGATCTACAAGGGGTTTAGGGTTTAGGGTTTGTGCTTTTTCCAAAACCCTGAAATCCTCTAGTCCTTTATTACTTAATAACCCTAAACCCTGAACCCTGAACCCTAAAGCCTATCTTAGCTCCTGGCCTTTCAGGCCGGCGTGACCATGGAGGAGGCGTGATGGGGTTGAGCATACGGGGTTATGTAGACCCCTGTGAAATCCACCTGCCATAGGCTATTGTGTCTATTCTAATGACCTCGTCGGACATGAATCTGAACATTCCTGTTCCAGGCACTTTTAACAAGGAATGGGCTTTCCTAACCGGGCAACTGCATCAGTCGGTTTCGTCGGTTAGCGGTGGGGCTGCGCTCGCGTGGTGTGATTGTGCCAGCCAGTGGACCTTCCTGACCCTAAACCCTAAACCCTAAACCCTTAAACCCCACAGGCAAAAGCCCCAAACTCCGTGACTGTAGCAGCTCATGTGGAGCGGTAGTAATGTCGTGGATTTGTTGTGTCCTCAGGGGGGCTCTTCACCAACCAGAAATTAGGAACTTCGGCGGCCATTTTCCGAATCTCCCGGCAGTGCTGAACCTGGGTAGCCGTTGTAGCCTGCTTGAAGCAATGGGCTCTGGTGCCAGCACCTCCTTGTCTTCGCTCCCCACGGTTCCGCGCAGTTCGGGGACGACTGTCACCAAGAAACCGGTGGGGACATCGCCGGAGTTGGACTGCGGGCCCACTTCGAGTATCGCAACTACCAGGCCCAAGAGAGCCACAGTAGTGTTGGATTGGGACCCAAGCCTCTGTGACGCAGACAGGTGGTCGGCCGAGGTGACAGAGACTTTACTGGCTGCCCACTCAGGATGACTCCGTAACCACTGGCACCGGCCAGGGACTCCTGTGCCGTTCGCATCACAGCCTGCCTCATGCTGTGATCGGCCGGGAGGATCGATCTTTGTCTGTGGCGTGTACGTGAGGCTTTTCTGCCACGGGTATGTGTTTTAGTAATTATTAGTACATGCATACATATACATATATATATATATACATATACATATATACATATATATATATATATATAGGCAGAGATGTGTCCACCTATTCATCTATCTACCTATCTATATATATATATACACATGTAAACAAGTACATACACTTGTTTCGTCATTGGGCACATCTTCTCATAACTACAATTCTTGCCTGACTCCACAAAAGCCAAAACGCTGCAACGGACTCTTGCTGTCCGCCGTGGTGGATTTCACTGCAGATGAACAGGAACCGCAACCATGTGCAGCAGAGTTCGACAGAGTTGCAGTGAGGGTGGCCGAGCGTCATATGACGCGTGCAGCGATGACATTGTTTCTGGAGCCCTCCAAATATTGATTCAGCGAAGGCCAAAGCCTTACATACCTTACATGTACGTAGCCTGGCACACACACCAAGCGCAGCGGGGGGGAAGCTAGCTCAGCGCTGTCTGCAGTCGCCCAGTCACAGACTGCCATGCTTTATAGCGATTTTTGCAGTTTTGAGAGTGGCACACAGAAGGTACCTTCTGTGGTCGTGCCTTGCTTTTTATACAAACGCACGTGTTTGATGAGTGTTTAAATGGCCGCCCTCCGAGAATTTAAGTCTTGGAGACCTGCTACATATTTGATTAGCATCGTTTTGTTTTCTTTGAGAGAGATGGACCAATGCATCCATCAGGAATCAGTCAGGGGTCAATGACCAGCAGCCGCCGGACGGTAGCTGTCTTCGGTGAGCTCTAAACCGTAAACCTTACAGCCTGAACCCCTAAGCCCTGAATCCCAAAGCCCACCAAGCCCCAAACCCAAAGCCCTGTACCTCTGCCTTGCCATCGAAACGCCTTTGCGGCGGTTCACTTAGGCGGAGTTCCTCTGATCAGGGTGAGCTATGCTCCATCTCGCAAGGCCTCTCCCAACCCAGCAACGCACAGACAGCCCGAAATACTTGGAGGTTATAATTTATAACTATAGTTACCCGACTTATAACCCCACTTATATCTACCCATGAGCCTCCAAGTACCGGAAACCCTAAACCCGAAACCCTAAACCCTAAACCCTAAACCCTAAACCCTTATCAAGCCCGAAGCACAGAGCCGGACCCCTTAAAGCGTATGAACAGGTCAATGTGTAGGAGCCCGTTTTAGGGAGCAAAGCCCACCCCGACACTCCGAAAGGTCCCATGTACCTACAAGGGTGGTTGTCAAAATTATGGTCCCTTTTGGGGTCCTTATTATAATACGGCACCTATTATTTAGGGTACCCTAAACCCTAAACCCTAAACCCTAAACCCCAAAAGGGACCCTACTTTTGACAACTACCCAGAAGGCAAGGAAACAGATTCACCCCCGTGCACGCGGCTGACCGGAGAAGCCCTTGGCCAACAAGTCGCGGGGTTTTAGGGTTTAGGGTTTAGGGTTTAGGGTTTTAGGGTTTAGGGTTTGGGTTTTGGGATTGGGGCGTGGGTGTTACGTTTCCGGTCTTGAGACGCTCAAAATGCTATGCATCCCTTGCTCGGTAGGTTTCATTTGCTACATGTAAGGTGGCTCACTGGGTCGGGGTCCTAAGCTCAGTTTAAATTAATACATGGGCCTAAATAATTACTAATACTATTTTAGGCGTTCCTTATTTTAAGTATAACATACTGGGCCCCACGACCCTAGTTCCAGAGCTTTTTCAGCTCAGGATTTAGGTCACAGGGGTTAAGGTTCAGGATTATTGGTCTTAGACCCCCCAAAATACCTAATCCCTAAAAACTATTAAATCCCTAAAATCCTGAACCCTAAACCCCTAAAACCCATAAATCCCTCAAATCCTAACCCTAAACCTCTAAATACCTAAAATCCCTAGTCCCTAAACCCCTAAAATCCTTAAATCCTTACAATCCTAGACCCTAAACCCCCTAAACCCCTAGACTCCCTAAGCCCCTCAAATCCTTAACTCCCTAAACCCCAAACCCCTAAAACCTTCGAAGTCCTCGCCGCTCAGAGACTCCAATATCCCTTAATTAAGGAATATACCCTAAATTATAGTAGGATCCCTAATATGCTTTAAGGTATATTCCTTAATTCAGGGGTATTGGAGTCCCTCGCCACAGGAGCCGGCCAAGATGCGCGAGGCTGGGAACTTCTCCGACCTGGCACGGGCCCTGGAGTTTAGGGTTTGTTAGGGTTTAGGGTTTGTTAGGGTTTAGGGTTTGTTAGGGTTTAGGGTTTAGGGTTGAGAGTTTAGGGTTTAGGGCTTCACATGATACATCTAGATATCTATAACATTCTTCTGTGTGTGTATATATATATATATATGTTTATAGCTCGATATATATATATATATATATACATATATATATATATATATGTATGTGCATATATAAGGGTAAATATAGATACATACATATGTAGGTATATATTACATATGTAATGGACATGTACATATGTATGTATATATATATATATACATACATAGATGTTGTATACATTGCACTGAAAGAAAAGAGTTCGATGATGTTGATGATGTTGTTTATGATGATAATAATAATGACGCTGCTAGTGCTAGTACTACTGCTACTGCTACTACCACTACGGCTACTACCACCAGCACCACTGCTACGACTTCAACGACACGACTACCTTTGCAAAAAGTACTAGCGACGATTACTTGCATCAGCCGCAATACTTCAGCAAAACAATCACACCAACAGCAATAGCAATAACACTACGGCTAGCAAAGCAACAGCAATAACAATAGCAATAGCAAGATCAATGCCAATAACACTACTCTTACTAGCAGTACTACTGATGATACAGTAGTAACAACAACAACAGCACTAATGTTAGTCAAGGTGGCAAATGGTAGTAGTGGTAGTAATGGTAATCGTATTTGCAATGATATCATTAGTTTGTTGCTAATGTTGTAATCGTAATCCTTGTTGTTGTGCTTTGCTACTTTAGCTACTTTGGCGTTTATGTTGTCTTCTGATTTAGTTTTCCTTTTTCAAGCCTTGCAGTATATCTGCCAAGATCACCATGGTCGCTTTCTTTGTAATGAACATTGTACCACCGGATGTATTCGTGAGGCCAGGCAATTATTAGCACGACTATCTCCATTTCATCTCGTATCAGTATCACAAGTCTTGCGTTTGCAGTTCTCATTGCTCAAATCTCTACGAAACCTTAAGCCCTAAACCGAAAAAGAAAACCTAGAGGTCGAACAAACCTCATCTGCGGATTCAAATCATGCGCTTTAAACACGGATGCACCTTCCCGGTTCCTCCCTAAACCCTAAACCCTAAACCCCGAAACCCTGAACCCTCAACCTGAAATCCTAAACCCTTAAACCCTGAACCCTAAACCCTAAACCCTAAACCCCTAAACCCTGAACCCTCCACCTGAGATCCTACACTTGTACACACCCTTCGAAGCTCAAGCCTTGAAATTCTCAACCCGAATCTGGGTAGTTTCCTAAATTAGGGTCCTTTTTGGGTCCCCAATATAGTCCGGCGCCCTTGTAACAAGGACCTTAAAAGGGGCCCTAATTTAGAGAACTACCCGTTGTATCACTAGGTATCACAATGCTCTCAGGTTCCTGAAGATACATGTACTATTCGGTTTAGGGTTTAGGGTTTAGGGTTTAGGGTTTAGGGTAATATCTACCCCAGAGCTTCATATTAGTAGTGGTGATAACTGTTCAAGTAACTAGTAGTATAATTCTGAATACTCATAGTCTTTGTATGTGATAGAAATATCAGTATTGTTCACAATAGCATCAACACTAGCACTGACACTGACAACAACAATAACAATAACAAAGTAGCTATGCAACAGTAATGATAAATGTTGTAATATTGCTGTTTGTAGTCATGCGCATTTTATAACGCTAACAATAGTTAGAACCAGATCAGGGATAAGAACAAAAGTACTAAGCAGACCTATGAGTATGATAAGAATAATGGTAACCTTATTCTGTTTTTCCTTCTCCCTCTCCCTGTTTTAGTAGTAAACGTAGTAGCACTCACAGTCATACGAACAAAAACAAGAATAAGCATCATCATATTCATATGGGTAGTTGTCAAAATTATGGTCTTTTTTGGGGTACCCTAATTAATAGGTGCCGTATAATAATAAGGACTCAAAAAGGGACCATAATTTTGACAAACACCCATATTGGTAGTGTCATTGTATGATGCTGCCAAACCCTAAACCCCCTAAACCCAAAACCCCTTAAACCCAGAACCCTGAACCCTGAACCCTAAACCCAAAAACCCTGAACCCAAAAACCCTGAACCCTAAACACTAACCCCAAAATCCCCAACACTCGAAGCTCGATTCTGTCGGGGCGAAGTGCGAAACCCAGGATTTGACCTCTGGGATGTTCTGGTTCGCCTTTTTAATCGTGCTGGCCAGCGCCTACCAGGCCGGTCCCTGCTTCAGGAGATGCTTGGTTTTAAGGTTGAGGGTTCAGGAACCCTAAACCCTAAGCCCTAAACCCTAAACCGTGTTGGTGTTGTTTGGTTTTAAGGTTGATGGTTGAGGCGGTGGGTTAGTTGAGAGGTTCGGGTGCAGCCCGTGGGTCTAGGGTTTACAGTTGAGGCCGTCAGAGATACCGTGATGAAAGGGCCGCATGAATGTGTGCATGTCCGTCTCGTTGTGCAGGCGTTCGTGCTCGGGGAAATTAGATTTCCTGTGCCGGGTGCGCGACTCAGAGCACAGGGACTGTTTGAGCCAGGGTTTAGAGCAAATTTAGGGGTTGCATAGGGTTTAGGGCTTCGTATTTAGTCGAGGGCTTGTGTTAGGGGCTCTTAATATTGGTAGTTAGCTAGTTCTGTGAATCAGAGTACCGTTTGAGGTTCTCTGTATGTCATGTATGATGTACGTTACGTACGTTTAAGGGAACCCAAGAAAGGGATCTTACTTTGAGAAGCCCTACACCCTCACTTAGCCCCTTTACCTTGAAGCTTGAGCCCGGCGACCTAAAAACCTTATATAAACCCTTTAGGGTTTTGGGTTTTGGGTTTAGGGCCTGAATCAGCAGTCAAGAAAGACCCGGAGGATGGACTTCGGAGTTCTGCTGCTCGACTTGGGTGTCTAACGTAAGGGCCTGAATAATCACCAATACTATTTTGGGGGCTCCTTGTTTTAATTGTAGTATCAGGGGCCCCAAAACCCCCTTCTAATTATGAAGGCCCCCAGGTTAGCCACGGCTCGGGACTGGGATTTTAGGGTGTAGGTTGTGTGTAGATAACCATGGTCCAGTTTGAGCCCCAAACCCAAACCCTAAACCCTAAACTTACAAAAGTATAGTAGTAGCAAGCAAGCAAACATTTAGTTCTGGTGCTATTTTCAAACAAAAAGAAACACTTTAATAGTGATAATCAAAATCGTAGTATTAGATGTATGGTATAAACACAACAGCGAGGCAAGCCACCCCAACCCACCAGCGCTGAGATCGGGCCTTCGTTGGTGTGGCGACACCCGGAAACGTCATCTCCTTGGCACTCTTCGGCTTACATAGGGGTCCTACTAATCGAGGAGGGTCCCGTTGATGGCTCCTTCGAGCGCTCTCCACGGAAACTGCAACAAGTTTCTATTCTAGAGGGGTCTTAACAGTTGAAATTTGGATGTCTCATAATAGAATTGCCATCAGGAGCCCTAAAGAATCGAATAGTATTGTTGTATGGTGCATGCGGTTACGTGTAAGGCGAGAGAGGACAATTTGTACAACTTGTGCAGTGTTGCCGGGGGTAATTCCGATGACCGGAAGTGGGGACTAATCTAATAGCCCCATGAAGCCCGATGGTGGACCTACCTATCCATCTATCTATCTATTTATCTATCTATCGATAGAACTAGCATATATGGATGTATATACGTATTTATAGAATATACACGCAGACACTTGCATATATGAAGACCCGTACATGCTTATAAACCCCTGCAGACCCTGACAAGCGCAGAGAAAAGTTTCGAAGCCTTATACGTCTCCTTGCGAAGCCTGACAAAACGTGTTTCAGCCCGTTTGAAGCTGTTTGAAACCCTTCCACGCCCTCTCAAGCCCTGAAGACCTTGAAAATCCTGCACCCAAAACCCTCGACCCTAAACCCTAAACCCCAAACCCCAAACCCCAAACTCCAAACCCTCGACCCTGAATCCCAAACCCTGAACCCGAAGCCCTAAACCCCTCTACCCCGAAAGTGGCCCTAAACCCTAAACACAGTCAGCTCCGAGCCAACTCCGCCGAGGTCCCACCTGTTCCCTACATGCCGCTCACTTCCCTGAAGCAGGAAGTAGGGTTGTAGGGTAGGGTTTAGAGTTTTAGGGTTTTAGGGCTTTAGGGTTTTAGGGCTTTCTTTAGCGCTGAGGCTTTGGGGTTTAGTTTAGGGGCCTTCTATTTTATACTATGATTACAATAAGGAACCCCCAAAACCCTATTCTAATTATTAAGGCCCCTACACCCCAAAAGGAGCCCCCCGAAACCCTATTCTAATTACTAAGGCCCCTACATTTGTTTCGGGTGCAAAGATTTTTGTGAAGTCGAGTTCGAGGAGGATGGGTTGGCCAGCAACCAGGGACATGGTCTGGTAGCCTGGTATTTGGGGGTTTAGGGTTCAGGGTTTTGAGGTTTTGGGTGTAGGGTTTTGGGGTGTAGTAGTAGGGGTTAGGGGTTTCGGGGTTAAGAGATTTTAAGGGCCTTAGGGTTTTTTAGTTTTAGGGTTTAGGGTTTCTTGATAGGCTACGCAACCTGTCGGTCGGCTCCTTTATAAGGACAGCAAAGGCCCTGCAATTCTAGGGGCGAGCGACCTTCACTCGTAGCTTCACCCAGTCATCCATCCGTCCGTACGACGTACACGCGCACGCCCATCCATCCGTGGGAGCTTCCGAAAATTAGGGGACCCTAATATAGTACCCTAAATAATAGGATCCTTATTATAAGGACACCCAAAATAAGGTACCCTAATTTTCGGAAACCCCCCATCTGTCTATCCATCTATCCATCCATCCATGCATGCATGAATGCACGTGTGCATAGATAGATACACCATCTGCGAGTATGGTGCAGTGTGTGGCATCGAAGCCATAGCCCAGTTCACATCCGAAGATCCGAACCCTTCCTCTGCCCGGACGGATCCAAGGACGGATGCCTGAAACCCGACCTAAATCCTAAGGCGCAAACCGCAACACCCCAACCCTGCAAGAGCTAAAGGGAGCAGCCTTAAAACCTTAGGGTTTAGGGTTTGGGGTTTAGGGTTTAGGGACCTTCAACTGAGAAGGACATCCCTCTGCGGCAGAAGCAAGCACTTTTGGCGTCCTCGGTGGAGTCCTCCGCGAAGGCAGGGCGGAGGGTTTTCTGGTGTTCGCTTAGAGGGCCCAGTGGGTTCTCTATCGATACGGATGAAGACTCGCTTTTCAGAGGGTGTGTGGGACTTCTTTCTGGAGTCCCTAAACACTAGACCGTAAACCGTAAGCAGCTGAGTACCTATTTCTGCCCCCGGAAGCCCAAACTCCAATGATCCGTACTGGAAGCCATACGTTGCCCCAAAACCTTGTTCTAATCATTAACTAGTTCTCCAATACCCAACCTTTAAACTTTTTGGGTTCCTATAACTTAATCGTAATCTGAAAGTTGAACCTTTGATTTCCCTGGCTTAATGGGGAAGTAAGTCAAGGCACCTACATGACACCCTAAACCCTAAACCCCTAAACCCTAAACGGCAACATTCGGCCCCTTCATCGCTCTCGGTCGCCATCGACCCGGTGCCAGCCTTCAGAACGGCTAAATCCCGGAACCGCCGAGTTGACCCTAGGGTTTACGGTTTAGAGTTTAGGGTTTAGGGTATAGGGTTTAGGGTTTAGGGTTTAGGGTTTAGGGTTAGGGTTTAGGGTTAAAAGAGCTCGAAGAGAACTCCGGAATTTTACATAGAGTCCTAGAGGGCTGAATCTTGAAAGACCAACCCCTCCCCACAATACCCGTGTATAAGCCTGAATAGAATTAACAGAACCCCTAACACCTTTAGTGGACCCTTCATAGCAAACCCGAAGCCCTAGACCTTAAACCCTACTAAACCCTAAACCCTAAATCCTAAACCTTAAGCGATCATAAACCTTATAAGCCCCATACCAGAGGTCCTCTACCTCGAGGACGGGCGCTTTCTGGCGCGGAAGGGCTCTTTGGCGCCTGGCCCGGCGTGACTGAGTGCTTTTGGGGCCTTGCTTTCCGAGGTTTCTACGAATTTCGAGGGTCCTATAATGTGTAGGGGCCTTCATAATTACCTATACTATGTTGGGGGTCCAATTATAGTATAATATCCCCCAAAAACTATTCTAATCATTAAGGCAGTAAGGGTTCTAGAAGCCCCACAAGGCGAAACTCTATCGATGCGCACAGGCTTATGCTTATCAGCGACGCGTTGGGTGCCTGATGCGCCGTAGCACTGTTAGGGTTTAGGGTCTAAGGTTTAGGGTTTAGGGTTTGAGCTTTAGGATTTAGCACCTAAGCCCGATAAGGGCTCCGCAGAAGCCCCATGGACTCCTTGTCACATTATCAGGCCTTCATATAACTACGTGGGAAGAGGGTGTTTGGGTATATCTGGTAATCATGTAGGATTCTATCGGGGCATATGTTTGCTAAATATTCCGACCACTAGTCACTGCATGTATATATATATATATACACACACACGCACATGAGGATACCCTTCAAGCAGCCCTTAACCGGCAATCCTTAGAAGGCCCTTCTAAGGAACCTCTTCACAGCCAATCTCGGCTTATGTGTTTCCGCTAGCCGGTCGTTGCGAGCCTACACCCGAAGCTCTAAACCCCAAGGCCTGAAACTGAATCCTTAAAGAGCTTTTGTGTAGAATCCCTACACCCTAAGCCCTAAACCCTAAACCCCTAACCCCTAAACCCTAAACCGTACACCATAAACCCTAAGCCCTAAACCCCGAATCCCTAAGCCTCAAACCGTGAACCTTCATCGATAAAGCCTCAGAAGGCTCCTGTACGTTTCACTCGAAAGGAAACTACAGGTGGGGAGTTTAGGGTATATAGGGCTTCTATAAGGCTTCTTTCAGGTATATGGACCTTCTATAAGGCTCCTATAACGGTAACTACCCACCAGAAATCCCTAAACCCTAAACCCTAAACCCCTAAAACCTAAACCCTAAGCCCTAAGCCCTAAACCCTAAACCCTGAACCCTAAAAATGTCCTTGACTCGAAGGTGCTTCTGACGGAGCGGGACCCGGAGGACTATCTGTCCTCCTCGTGGCTGATCTCCTCCAGTGAGCGGAAGCCTCGGTAGTGGAGAGATTTTCAAGGGTGTCCTATAGGGACCTAAATGGCTAGTACTACAGTAGTCCTTTTTTAAAAGGGTGCCGTACGATCTGGGGACCTAGAAAGGAACCCTTATGATTTTAGATAACCATCCAAATAATTACCCTACTTATTCTGGGTATACCTAGTACATGGTTAGAGCATACTGTACCCCAAAACGCTGGTCAGTCTAGTGGTGGTGGTGGTGGTGGTGGTGGTGGTGGTGGTGGTGGTGGTGGTGGTGGTGGGTGCTCGTGGTTCCCGCAGTAGTAGTAGTAGTAGTAGTAGTAGTAGTGGTAGTGGTAGTGGTAGTGGTA